GGGCGTTGGATCCTGCACTCGCGCATGTAAGAGCCATCAATTTCCCGTGTGCGTGTATCATTGCGCTGGTATACCTGTATCGGGCGAGCGAAGGAAGGGGGGGAAAAAAAAACGGCTCGATCTCGGTGGCGGCAGCAGTTCGTCTTCCTCCCTCTCTCTCCCTGTTCCCTATTAAACGCGCAATCCGTGTGTGTTTGATTGCGCGCCGTACTCTGCTGCAGAGCGTCGTAAAAAGTGTAATTAAACCGAGAGAGAGAGAGAGAGAGAGAGAGAGAGAAAAAAGCGAAAGGCCACGGGCAGTGTACCCTCACACCTACACATGGCTGCTGAGAGCGCGTTGTTATATACGTGCACGTCTCTCCGAGTTGATCATCGAGCGTACATATATACATATATATGTGTGTGTGTATGAATATTATTAGGTTGTACGTGAACGGCTGCGGTTGAGAGAGAAAAAAAAAAAAAAGAGGGGGTCAACGAGTCAGTCGTTGCCCGATGGGGTCAGTACACTTATCGAGGCTTATGACGCTCGCTCGCGCGCGCGCGTGTGTATTATTCCGTTCGCGGCATTTCGGCTGATGGCTCCTTGTTGCTTCGTATATATATATATTAATTCTCACTCTTGTACTATACCCACGCACGTATATGGACGTACAACGTAACACTTACGTGTTACGTTGGGTACGGGCGCGTGTACACGAGGAGATCTACAAAAAATATCCCTTTTGTGTCCCCTATTTAAATGAAAAAAACGATTTCGAGTCACACCCTTGAAACCCGTGTTCAAAATTTTTTCCTCATAGTATACATGGAATTACGAGTAAAATAAGCCTTATCTCGAAGATGTGCCTCGAAATAGTTTTTTTCATTTAAATGGGGGACAAAAACGGGATATTTTTCGTGGATTTCCTCGTATGTATATAGGTACTATGGAAGCAGAGAAGAGAGAGCGGGGGGCAGCTCGTGGTGTATACACTACTGCGTTTTCCTCTCGGCGTCCGTGTACACCTACTTACGGCCACTCGGGGCCATTTCAGAGATCGGAGATATACATATAGCTTGGTACAGAGGGCCTCCTTGTACACTTATACTTACTCGCCGAGCGTGAGATACAGGGAGAAAGAGAGCCCCCGCTGTCGCGGACAAGTTTCTCTCGTTCAAGGTTGCAGTGCTCCGGGAGCGCGTATATACAGCTCTCCGATGGCCCCGCTGTTATAATCATCGTCTGTATGGGTATGGGCGACGTAACGCGATACGCCGCGTGACATAGTTTTCGGCACTGTCATATTAATGTATACCCACACGGCTCTGTTGGGCGTGTTTTCTGTTGTCTATGGGTATTCTCATGGGGGGGGACTAATTTGTTCGATTAATTTTTGTTTTTGTCCCTATTATACTTTTCTTCAAATGTCACTCGAACGAACGGGGGTAAGATCTTTTATCCCATTGTGTGTGTGTGTATGTGCACTGTGTTTGAGAGAGCACGCGATGGTCTCGGGTTACCACTAATGATAATGATAATCGGAGGGAGCTCGGGTTTCGTCATTTTCCACCGCCGAACGTTCTCTCCTCCGTAAAATACACAAAATTACTACTTATCCCCTCGTGGTTTTTATCGAGCAGTACTAGGGTATACAGTTCTTTGGACCATTCACTGGTTTTCTTCGCGAGGTATTAGAAATGACGCAATTTTCAATAATTAGTCCTAAATATTTTCCACGTACATCCATGGGCTGATCTAACGCAGGCTTTTACAAAATATTAGCACGAAAGGTATGTAAATTAACAAACGACGGAGAATCGAGCGTCTATTATGTGTTGTCCATTTTTCGCGTTTCCAAGGGGTTTTTACCTTACTCGTTGTTTTTAGCAGAAATAAAGTCAGCGTCATCACCACCTGACTCGAGACTCCAATAACCCGTGAAGTAACGCAACACCGCACGCCCCGCTCATCGGACGATGAAACGTAATTTTTTCCACCGCCACATATCGTGGTGCGCTCTCTCTCTCTCTTCGGTAATTCAACCTCGAAATGGTCGTTGCTCGATCGATACATGGAGCACATCTCCCGCAAAAGAGAGGCTTAGACGACCCCTGCAACCCCCTGCCTTGATTACTCCTCCGTCGGTCGTAAAAGATCAATCTCGGGGAAATGGAGAGGATGGACGGTAAACACAGGCGTGTCGTGCCCACTGTTTGGCCAACTGGCTTTTACCGGAGAGAGAAAAAGAAAAGAAAAAAAAAAAAAAAAAAAAGATACGCAGTTTGGGTTGCACTCCGCGAGTTTCCGGCCGCGCAAAGTCCGACGAGGCTCGTCCCGGCCGACCCGCAGAAAGAGGGGAATCCCGGATATATCCGATTTCCCAACGCGGGCTTCCTTTGCACGGGTGATGCACGACGGCTCGTCCCCGAGTATATTGTGTCCCCGTGTTTGCGCGACGAAAGAAAATACTTTGCGTTCTCTGTATGCTATAGGCGCACATTGCACGTATGTATATACGTAAGAGTAAGGGACGGCATATACCTGTATAACATATATATATACCCACGTCTAACGGGGGAGGAGAACTGCAGCGGCAGGACGACCCGTACTGTATACTTGCTTGGAAAGCGTATAATGCACGGGTACATAGTTACAGATCGTATATATGTACATTGGCCTGTATACAGGGTAGGGTATATATATTTGTATACCCTGCAGTTGTATGTCGTCAACCTAACAGTACCAACCCCCCTTTTTCCTCCTCTATCGCTGACATACGGTGCTCCATTTCGTCGAGAGCGCACTTGAGCGCCGAAACCGTATTGGCTCTTGAAATATCCATTCGAGGATCATGGTTACTTGGTATTACACAGTAGTTTTAACGTATAACAGTAGTGTCGTGGCATAATGTGGTGGTAGTTGTCGCCGAGAGTGGCATGAGCCTGGAGTCTCGTTTGGCACGGAGTTTAACGTCTTTTAGATGATATCGCGGTGGCGCGCTTCTTTTGTACATTTCCATGGAGTACGACCTACTCCCCTCCCCCCCCTAGATTGGCTTTGTTTCCCGCTGGTAATGGCGGGAGATTGCATCGGTTCGAAAAGAGAGACGGAAAGCCTTTTTTTTTTTTTTTTTTTTCGAACCGATGGATGCAGTTTTCCCCCCTCCCCATTCTATATGGCTTTTTTTGTTGGCAGCCTTTGGTAGTAATAAAAAGGGGTGCGGCAAACAGATGCTTCTTGTTTTACATGTAGAAGGAGAGGGTTTTTAAATTAACATTTACACTTGGATACTCGGTGGTGTTTTTTTTTATCAAACGTATGGATTTATTCGACGAATCGATACTGATACAAAGTCTCACACGATTCACTCTGTGTTTATGTTCGGATTTCATGACAGTGCGGGTGGTAGCTTGGTATAGGGATTTAAGTACAAATTCACGAATACATTATTCCTTTGAGCAAATTTTCGTCGTTTTCTACGATGATTTTATTACTTACACAACTATCAATAACACGATTTTCGTAGATGATCGTTTGGCACGGCTTAAAGTCTATATATTGAAAATCGTATACCCTTTTATCTTCTTCTTATTCTCGTAACTTTATGTGCGTACGATGAAATTTAATAGATGACAGAAAAAATGAAAGTTAATTAGTTTATAGCTACAGAATACTATTCGAAGGCAACTTAGCGTAATGGAACTTTGCGCGTGCTCTCCGTAAGCACGAGAGGTTTTATGGTAATTAGCGACGATACGTTTGTACAATTGAAAAAGTACCTGTTGAATGAAATTTATTTTTTATTTCCTCTTGACTAACAACTGAAATTTTTTATTTTTTTATTCTTTGTTCAAATGTTGTCCATGTCAAACAAATTTTGAAAAGAAAACCAAAAAAGGACCAACAAGGTGTAAACAGCTTCGCTTGTACACACAAATATCGAGGCATTCGATTGAAACAGGAAAAACAGAAAAGGAGAAAAATCTTACATCGATGTATTTGTATATATATATACTGTTTGTGTTTATTTCTACCGGTAAGCCGTGTCATTATTCGCAATTCGCCGTCGTCATCGCCTTTTATTTGTCCCAAGGCTTTGCACAACATCATAATATTATACCCATACCGTACAACGTGGGGCCTATAGAGTACTCGCGACAACAACTGCAACAATGGTAATAATAATAGTAACAGCAGGTAGATTATATATATATATATATATATGCGCCTTGGACTTGCCGTGTACCTTAAACATGAATTTACAGTACAAAAGAAGGTGATTCACATGCATGGGTACATGTATGTATATATTTAATCGAGCGTCCACCACCGATGTGGGCACGAGAACTGCATGCTTATATATAGTGGCAACTCAATAATGCATATCGGGAGAACCGAGCACATGGATGTACCTATAATACAATACGCCACGGGCCCGAGAGCACAGCTCGTTTTTACAGTTAAGGTGGCTCCAGTGGCCTCAATGTTAAAATTATAAATAACCCAACCGAGGTTAATAAAATTGAATTATATTCTTTGAATTCCCATCTTTCTATTCGTATAAAAAAAAATTAGGGTTGACGATGAAAATCGTAAGAAATCATGCTTACAAAATCGTAGTTTTAAGACGGGTTAGGTAGGAAATGCAATCTTACGCGATATACAACCTACTGCTGCCCTTATATAAATAACCCGTAAGGTGTAAAAAACATACTATCTTGTATATATTATTACGCAGTTTTCGATGACATGAGAAAAGTGTCTTGTTATCGAACAAAATCTTTAAATAATCGGAGACTAAGTATACAGTTGCGAGTGCAAGTCAGCTCTCAGCTGTCTGCATTCTGCAGAGTACATATATATAGGTATAACTACTCTTGAACTTTGGAGCGTACCGTAACAGTTCATCAATTAGGGCACCATAAAACTTTTTTGTTTTTTATATTAACTCACTAAAGTAATAGATAAAATGTAGAATATGGCTTACAACAGTCTCTACGATAATTTTATACCATATTTTAAAGAAAATAATGATTAATTTTTAGTCTCCCCATTTTGATACGGCACTAGGCGCTGGAGCCACCTTAAGTAACGCGCGCAGCTCGTGTCACGGCGTATTACAATAATGGATGGCATACATGTATAATACGTATACACAGGCGTGCCCCGTACGTATCATACATGTACATACATATACTATACAATATATAAGCAGCCAAGCGACGATCATCATCTCCTCACGGCGTCCCTTATGTCCTCGATAGCCTCGAGCATCTTCACGAGAATGGCCCGGTTCTCCTCGTCCCTCCTCCTCGCGTACTCCAAGAACTCGTCTACCCTCCGCTCGAGCCCGCTCCGCTGTTCCCCCGTGCCGCTGCTCCTCCCTGGCTGCCCCGAGCTCTCCTCTTCCCGCTTCTTCCTCTTTGCGTCCTGGAATATCTCGAGCTCCTCCCGGCCGTTGTTGCATATGGGCTCCAGCGCCGCTGCCTGATGATGGTCCGAGCCACTACCCCCGGCTCGGATCGGCCTTATCGTCAACTCGGTCGCCCGGGGCAGCCGCGACAGTAGCTCCTCGCTGCTGCTGCCTCTGCTCCCGTGCAAGCTGCGCTTCCTCGACGACCCCGACCCCGAGTTCCTGAAAATTGTATCGTTACTTTTTTTTTTTTTTTTTTTTTTTTTTTTGCACTTTACCGTACGGTAGGGGCGTGGGTGGGGTGAGAAATACCGAGAGGGAGCGCGCGTTTGGCCGGAAGGCATTTGTTCCGGGGTCTTGCGCGATTAACGCGAGGGTAGGGTGGCTCTCTGCGTCTGTAGTACTACCCCCCACGCTAGAGTCGAGTGTGTACACTTGCTTTTATTGGTTGGAGGGGGGTAAAATGTGCGCATCAAATTTGAACTCTTTTACATGCACGGTTTAAATTATTATAGGTATTTTCCACGCTACTGTGAGCGTAAAAAATTCCCAACCCAAGAGCCGAGTTATGATCGGATGGTGAAAGTAAAATAGTTTTCTCGTCGCCGCGTGCAATAATATACGTCTAACGGGTAAATACGACTCCATAGGGTCTAGATGCACTCCGATGCACTCGAAGAGTCGACGTAGAGTGTCGCCAGCCCCAGAACTTGGCGGGGTCGTAACTATAATATACACGCGTTTCGTACGAGGCGCCGTTTCGTCTCTTGATTTACAGGCAGAGCGGCGCCCCGAAAATAAGACTCTGCCGATCGATCGCACGGATGCTTGCTACTCTCGCCCCCGAAAAGTATATATATCTGTGTCGATTTCGTGAAACCCTCCTGCAGTGGCATCGCGGGAGGAGCACGGCAAGTTCCGGGGGTTAATCATATACAAGCTCGTATACAAGAGAGGCATTGAGTCATTCAAAGCCATAGATTGCGCGCTCGGCTTATCTGTGGGTGGATGAGACTCGAGGTGTCGATCGTAGGGTAGGGAAAGGGAGGAATAGTTCTCACCTGGTGGCCCTCGACAGCCTGTCCACGTCGAAGAGGAGGGGCTGGAGTCCGGCGGCTGCTCGGCCCATGGGAGCTCGGGGCTCGTCCTCCAGTGGTGGTTTCGCGTCCCCGAGGGGGTCGTAGTTGAGCTCGTCGTCGCTGTCCTGGGCGACGGAGACGCAGAGAAACTCCTGGGGGTCGAGGTCGCGGTCCGAGTGTTCCTCGTCCTCGGGCTCCTCGTCGTAGCAGCTCTCCCCCTCGGGCGAGGCGGCCGTCGCGCTGTTGTCCTTGTTTCCGCTGTTGTTGGCGAGCCTGTTGCGCCGCCGGCCGCGCGGCAGTCCCAAGCTGCTCAGCACCTCGTCTATGGCGTTGTAGAACGGCCACGATATCTCGTCCGGTCTGTTCTTGTCGCCGTGCACGGGGTTCTTCAGCTCCTTGAATCATCGTTAGCGCTTGGTACCTTTTTTTTTTTTTTTTTTTTTTTAAACGTTAATTTTGTTTTTTTTTTAAACTAAAATTAAGTTATTCTACGCTTTACATTGTAAAATCGATCTAAAAATAAGAAAAAATGTTCATTGACTGGAAATACACGGCGAAATTTTTTTTTGAGTGCTGTACAAGTAAAAGTAAAAATTCCAAGCTCTCCAGTATTTAAATCGATCGAGGGAGAAATGTGACCGACGATTGATTGTATATCATTACACCCACTAAAACATGGACATTTATTCTAAACGACGTACTTTGTCTTGGGTACACATTTTCCGGAAAATTTTGTGTTTGATCTACTTACGTAAACCTTTGAAATAAAATTTTTTTATTTTTCATATATATTTTTATGAT